AGAAAACCGTTAGAGCAACAGACCTTCGGTTGTTACTACCGAATAGAGCTTTGAAGTAGGTCGTTTTCATGTGAAACGTCGTTTAATCAAAGTTTCTAATTATCCCAGGAAATGTAAAAGTGCAAAAATAGTGCATTTTTTTAAAATCGCGCTTAATTATTGGCTTATTTTGAGAAAACTGTTACTGCCGAATAGTCATCTTCTTTCGTATAAAACGTCGCTTTCAAAATGTTTTTAATATTTTCGAGAAAAGCAAAAGTGCAAAAATAGTGCATTTTTACAAAACCGCGCATAACCATTGGCTGATTCTCAGAAAACCGTTAAAGTAACAGACCTTCAGTTGTTACTACCGAATAGAGCATTGAATTGCGTCTTTTGTATATAAAACATCGTTTTCAAAAAGTTTTAAGTAATTTAGCAAAATGCAAAAGTGTAACAATAGTGCATTTTTTCAAAACCTCGCTTAACTTTTGGATGATTCTCAGACAGCCGTTAAAGTAATAAATCGTCAGTTGTTACTACCGAATTGATCATCAAAGTGTGTATTTTTTCATATTAAATGCCGTTTTCAAAAAGTTTCTGATAATTTGAGCAAATGCAAAAAGGTGCATTTTTCAAAACTGCGCTTAACTATTGGCAAATTCTCAGAAAAGCGATTGAATAAATACAGTTTCCAAAGCGCTCTATCGAAAAGGGCACACTTGTCGTATATTTTCCGCAGTTTGAGAATGAAAATACCCAGAAGAATATTGAGTTTTGCGTCTGTCTTTTTAGAGGATCTGCAAGTTTGTGTAAAACCTGATAAAAAAAACTGCAGTTTTTAAAGTACACCAGCGAAATAATCCGTATGAATCATCAGACGCTTGCAACCGTTTTCAATATATAAACGCTTTTAAAGTTAGAAATATCTTCAAAATTACGAACAGTACAACAAAGACGCATTCACTCACACACACACTGAAACATTAGTTCACTGGCACAAACAATTTAATGGCTAAAATGCTTATAGGTGATGTACTTTTATCCAGTTCCTTCCAAATCGACAACAAAAATGCAGCCAACTTCAAATTCACTGCAGTTCATGCTATGGTTCCCATTTCCCATCTTATTGTCTACTACATTAAAGAAGATGGGGAACTAGTGGGAGATGTTGTTGATATAGAAATCGATGTGCTTTTTGATAATTTTGTAAGCGAAATTAAATCAACGAAACTCACAAATCAACTAATTGAACCTTGCAGATAAACATTGATATAAGCACTGATGAAACCGAGCCTGAACTTGATGTGGAATTGACGGTGCGAGCTCGACAAAACTCCTACATCGGCCTAATGGCTGTGGATGAAAATGTTCGAACTTTGCGCTCTGGATATGACATAACTCCTCAAGACATTGCGGAAGATTTGACCAAATACGACATTGCTCAAGAGTCGCCCTATACGTTGATATCAAGAAACTCTAAGAACTACTTTATGTGGAAACCGGGCGCGAGCAATCCACTTTCAGCAGTATTTGTAAGTTCCATTAGAATTCTGGTGAGATTGTGGGTGTAAAATGTGGATTTTTTAGGAAGCCGGAGCCGATCTACTAACAAACGCACGTATTGACCAACGCAAACCCACTTGTAAGTGCACTTCATTTATGTAGCTGTAATCATAGCAAGAAAAGATTCGTTTTTTACCGCACTATGAAAACTGGGTCAAAATATGTCACAAACTTAAAAACATTATTAGACAAAATTGTTAATTATAAAGAAACTTATGGAATAAGCCCAACTGGAAAGCTGGAACTCTGGTTCTATTCAGCCTGAATAACTACTACCGTTTAAATGACTGAGGAATCAATACCAAATCTCGCAGCTAAACCCGATATTGGGAAATTTTTCAGTGGAAGACATCTACTTACGACCAGTATTCTACGGTTCTTCAACTGTTAAGCCTGATAGAGGCTTTGGAGTTCAGCTACCCACAGTGACCAGACCTCCACTAGCTGGCCCATACGCTTTCAGTAGAATTCCGAAACCTGTTTGGAACAAACCCAAAGTGTATCTCACTCAGAACGTAGCCGATACGTGGCTTTTCACAAATTTCTCCGCTGGATACGAAGGAAAAACGTCCATTAGACGAAAAGTGCCAGCAACGTTAAACAACTGGCTAATCAGCGGTTTTTCTTTGGACCCCATTCGAGGACTGGCATTGATGACTGAACCCAAGCGACTGAAGGTTTCCAAATCCTTCGTGGTCTCTTTGGATCTGCCGTATTCGATCCAGAAGGGAGAAATTCTGGCAGTGCCTGTAGTAGTTTACAACTACATGAATCAGGATATAATGGCGGAAATTACGCTCCATAATACGGAGCAGAAGTTCGAATTTGCCGAAGTTTCAAATGAAGTAAACGCCACAAGAAGTAAGCTTTCATTTGTCTCAGTCATTACCAGTTTGATCAAATACACCCATTTTTTTCTAACAGAAATCGAATTATATCGCAGAAAGAAAGTAGCAGTGGGCAAAAGTTCCGGGGCTTCAGTCTCTTTCATGATCACCCCTTTGAAAGTCGGGCAGATAGAGATTAAAGTTACAGCAAATAGTCCTCGAAACCAGGATATTGCAGTGAAGAATCTTCGAGTGGAGGTAAGTTCATCCGGATTGGGAAAAAAGTGTGTTTGGGAAATAGTGCTGATATAAATAAAATGCTTATAGTTTTAAAGCGAAAATTCAACAGATTTGAGGCTACACCAAAACATTCAGAAATACATTTGCTTCATTACTGCTCAATATTTCACTAGTAAAACTCAAGCATTCTCAATATTACGAAAATACTTCCGTTCGCCATCATTAAAAAATCGACTGTTTCCATAATCGATCTAAGCTAGAAAACTCATCAGCACAAAATAATTTGATTTCTCTTTAACCAGCTTGGTGGAGAGACCGAATATTACACGAAAACTGTACTAATAGACATGCGACAAGCGAATGTAATAAAAAAATCCCTCAATTTCACAATACCGAAGAACGCCATAGAAGGATCGGAAAAAATTGAAGTTTCCACAGTTGGAAACCTCTTGGGGGCTTCCATGCTTCACTTGGACCATCTGATTAGGTAAGCAAAATCACTTCCATTCTTAGAGAAAATGCTTAAACACACACTGTAGACTTCCAGCCAATTGCGGTGAACAGAATCTTGTGCATTTTATGCCAAATCTAATCATATTGCAATACCTGAAAACCACCAACCAGCTGACTCCAACCATCCAGAATGAAGCCATCGGCTTCCTGGAAAAGAGCTACCAAAAGCAGCTGCAATACAAACGCGCTGATGGCTCATTTAGTCCATTTGGTGATCGCGATCCATCAGCCAACGTGTGGTAAGATCTAACTTATCTTAGCATCAACCAGCAAGTCCAAGCTGTTGGTTTCAGGCTAACAGCGTATGTGGCGTTAGCATTCAAGCAAGCCAGGCAATTCATTTATGTGGATGACCACATTATCAAATCATCGCTTGAATGGCTGCAGAATATCCAAGGAAGCAATGGAAGCTTTGTGGAAACAGGCACTGTTATATATGATGACTTACAAAATCGGGATGGAAATAGTCTGGCTATGACTGCTTTTGTTGTTCTGGCTTTTATTGAAAATCAGGTGAGTGTCCAATGTTGACAAAGAAAGTTATTTTGTAAGCAAACATGATTGTAGAAGTGTGGAGATTCTCCTCTCTTTAAATTCTTTCTCAGATCACTTTTCCAGGTTTCAGCTCTCCTCATTTCAACTGAGTTGACTTTATAAAACATTAAGTTTTCTTACTTTCTTACTTAAAATGCCTACAAAAAATATGAAAATATAGAAAACATTTTGAGAAATCGGATAGCGGCTGGACCTGTAAAGGTGTTTAGTTTTAAATATTGGATATTTGTCAGTTTAAACAGCGGCTGTGCATTAACAAGCTTTCCATGCTAATTTTGCAGATAAAATGTCGTTTTCGTTCTTTATCCCAAAATAAACAAGTTTTCCAAATTCATCCAACTTTTTTTTAGAATAGTCTTAATTTTTATCGTATGTTTAGTAAATACGCTGTGTAATGCCAGTTGATAGAAGACCAAAATTACAATAAATTTCTCAAGCCTCAGCAATTCAGTGCTTGGTGCTTCTTTAAACGTGCAATAAAATTAATTATACGGCTTTGTTCCAAACCGACTAGTTAAGGTGTCATGATAGAAACTACTGTCCGATAGTGTAATATTGGTATTGAAAAATGTCGCGTAAAAAGTTCAAGAAGCACCTTGAACATTCAATAATTAATCCATCGAATTACACGCAAATCTCTTATAACCAGGGGCGGATCCAGCTTTAAATTCAGGGGGGGTTATGTAGAAAAATACTTCTGTTGTCTAT